GAAATACATTTTCTTTTCATATATTTTAAATGCAATTTTCTGTTAGTATATTTTAAATGGTTTTCCCCCATAAATTTTCTGATTTTATTATCATTATGTTGGATATATTTTCTCACGAGATCATATGGATCGACAACGTTAAAGACACTCTACGCCTTCATGGAATGACAATAGCCAGTGGCAGCCAACGTGCACTGCATCGCTAATTATTCCTCCCCACGGCGCTTAAGGACAAAAGTGGTTTATGATGATGATGATGACGATGATGATGATGATGATGATATTTTCTCAGGCATTTTTTTACTAAAATTTGCAGCTTTTTCAGTCAGACAAATAATCAGCTTGAAATAAGTCTGTTTCCTCATTTTGTTCACCAGGAACTTTTCAGACACTCCAAGCTGTAAGGCCAATTTATCTTACGTATCTTTTAGTTTTTCGAGATTAGCTGGTGTAATTTACAACGGTAGGGGCCGCAGTGCTTTTATATAGCTTGGGGCCTCATCAAGTCTAACTATGACCATGAGGTGGAACTAGCCTGATGCAGGTTTTGAGGACCGTTCATGGGAGTGAAGGCTCGTGGGGCACGATGCGTGGAGGGGAAGGGTCAGGAAGGTGAAGGTGAGAGGACAGACTTTATTGCACAGGGTTTGATCCCATATGTCTCAGCCTCTCTCCGCATAACAGCTAGCTGCATGTCGAGAGCGTTGCACAGAGCGCGACCTCCGCAGCTCCGGCGATGATCCCTGCAAATTGCATTCGTGAACTGAACGGCGCCGCTGTGAAACGAATCCAGAACCTTCATAGCTCCAGGCAAACGGTTTGGCCACTTTACCACAGAGACCTCCCCCTCCACCGCCCTCCCCGGTTGCGAATGGAGTGCTGATAAAGGAGGAGGGGGTGAATGCAGCTGTTTTGAGAGATGGATGTCGGAGAGGAAGCACCTTTAGTGTATTCGACAGCAGCGGTGACCCACTTCTTCATACCGACAGAGACTTGCAGGTAACGGCCGGCTGGGGTAACCGCTGTGGGTACTGTAATAACTTCTTTGGAGGTTGCACGGGTAGGTAGGTAGGTAGGTGGGTGGGTAGGTAGGTGGGTATGTGGGGAGGTAGGTGGATAGGTATGTAGGTGGGTAGGTAGGTGGATAGGTAGGTAGGTGGGTAGGTAGGTATGTGGGTAGGCTGGTGGATAGGTAGGTAGGTGGGTAGGTAGGTGGATAGGTAGGTAGGTGGGTAGGTAGGTTGGTAGGTAGGTAGGTGGGTATGTGAGTAGGTAGGTAGGTAGGTGCTTTGCTGAAGGGGGGAGTCACATTCAACCGGTATTCCTCAAGCGGGAGTTGTAAATTATTATGACCAGGTTATGTGCGCCATATAAAATGGCTCATCATTGCACGTCACAGGAGTCCTGAAAAGGTTTCTAGTGTTGATGCGATCGAAGTAGACAAGCCCAAAAACTGTCCTGACCGCCGACGAAGTCCTCTACCGGCGAGCTAATGGGCGACACGAACAATGATAATGTGTATCTGAACGGGGTATCTGGGATCTATTTTATGGGCAGTCCAGATTGAGATTTTATAATCTCAGGATAGTAGGGAAAACCTTTAGGTAGCAACCCGGAGCGGACACAGTGATTGATCGAACGGTGGTCCTAGGGTCCCGTGATCTTATTGGGAAAGGGGTGATGAGATGGTAGGAGGCCTTTCTGGCTCGAAAGGGTCCTGCTGGTCAACTCCCCATAGCGTTGAGCTGTTGTTCCCATACTTTCCGATTGCACAATGTAACACTATCGTACGGAAAGAGGTTAGCTGTGTATCCTTTACAGGACGTTGCAGGACCAACCCTAACAACCATTGGCTGTTGTGTGGAGGTTTTTTCTAGGCAAATTTACGTCCAGTAGTTTGCCATTGCCTACTGGACGGTCGGCTTTCTTGATACCACTGTCGAAACCAACGCAAGGCGCATGGCCCGCAGTTGAGATCGAGCCCGGCATCCCGGCATTACGAAGCGTTCGCATCGACTTAGCCACAGAGCCGACGTCGTCTGGAAAGACGAAAAGTTTGTTTTAAACTCTAATAAATAAACGAAGTAAGGCTATTCTTAAATAAACTAGTTTAAATGTTCCTTTCCTGATATTTCGTACGGAAATAGTCGCAAATACAAATAAACACTTTGACACATCCGACCCGTCTTGTAGGCTGCAATTCACAGGCTGGGAACCATTGTTCTGTATTATTGATTCTGCAGTCGTAGTGTTCCTTATCTGACATTCTACGTGATCAGAACATGTGTTCACAAAGAGAGCACGGAACAGTAGCCGGTACAGAGTAGGTGATACTACTGTTCTTACTTCGTAAGTAGTCATACGACAGTGATGTTTACTATCACCTTGATTTGTGTCCTATACATTAAATGTATATTAAGATCTATTCTGGATCTGGCAATAGCAATACAAATATTAAACAGCATTAAAAGTATATGGTTAAGCACCAGCAAGGAAATGAAAGTTAAAATTTTGAGAGCATGCATCTTCCCTGTAGCATCATACGGATGTGAGTCGTGGACTATCTCGCAGTTTTTAAAGAAGAGCTGAAATATTATAAACGATTCTTAGCTGTCACTCGTGTGCATGGACACTGACATCGTGAAGACGGCTAGCTTCAAACCAATGAATAATAAAGCATTCTGTAAACATGAATTCTTGTTATAATAAAAAGTTCGTAGTAATTTCATGTGTCATCTAATCAGTGTTTATATTTTTACACCGGTTTTGTTGAAGTGCCAATAAAATAAACCGGTGTATGTTTAATATTATCGACCCTTCACACTTCATCCCTGTGAGTGGGGCCCCAGCATATTGGTTTGCTAGGAGCCCATAACAATGTTAAGACGGCCCTGCCGTAGAGTGATTATAACATTGTTTTGTCGGTTTCGCAGACATATACTCGAAGTCCCACTGTTCGCTGACACAGAATAAAATGTTATGTGAAACCACGATGTGCTATACAATTTAGGTCACCTTATCTTGCTTGTCAGCAATTAATAAGACAAATAGCACGTTTATTATTCTTTAATTTCACTTTCTATATGCAAAGGGTCAGCTCTGTGGCTAAGTCGATGCGAACGCATCGTAATGCCGAAATGCCGGGTTTGATCCCAGCTGCGGGCCATGCGCCTTGCGTTGGTTTCGACAGTGGTTTTAAGAAAGCCGACCGTCCAGAGGCAATGGCAAACTACTGGACGTAAATTGCCTAGATAACCCACACAACAGCTAGGGACTGTTGAGGTTGGTTGTGCAACGTCCTGTAAAGGATACGCAACAACCTATATGCAAAGGCCTTTCAACGGCCATTCGTGTACCATCTGGGAATTGTAGTTTAAAGCCACGGTCCTTGAATTCAGTTAACCTGGCCTCAAAAGCATTATGTGCAGAGCTAGCTATAGGGAACCGCGAAGGACTTACAACTGACATGCGAATTCATCGATGCATCCCACCTGACGATTTGATCTGAGCATACGAAACCGAACGCGAAGAATAATTCTGCTGATCCCCCATGTGGGTTCCAGGGCCCATTGTGGGGAAAACAAGAATAGATCAACTGCCTTTCCAGCAAGCATGTCGTAGGAGTCGACTAACTAGGGACTTCCTTCGAAGTTGGAGTGCACCTGCCCTAGCCGCAAGAAACACTCAACTGCATAAAATTAAGTCAGTAATACGGATGTACACGCAAAACTCAGGCCCTGGCACAAAGCCAAAGTCTAAATGGACGAACAGCCAGGACTTTCCACCGGAGCTTACAACCGGTGAACAAAGAAGAAGAAGAATTCTGCTGAGAATATATGTATATATTATTTTCTACTGACTGACATCCTAAAAGATCTGAACATCAGGGAAGATAGGTCTGTAAACAGCATCTAGTCTCGGAAACTGAAATATTTTGACCATATCAAGCGCCACTGAGGATTGGAAAGATAGCAGCAGAAAGTACGGTACATGGAAAGAAGGGCAGGGGCCGACTAGCACGAAGATGGGCGCAGTAACGTCTTGGGTAGGAAGCTGCACTAAGCGGGGGATTTGGTGTGTCCGAGTATTTTTTTTTTTTTTTTCAGGCAGAGTGCGATGAAAGCGACGTTCCGCAAAGAACTGATATATGGTGATGGTTTTCTGTTTATAATCCCGATGACTTCATGTTTGTTGAACTAGGTATATTGATCTCAACTGCACAGTCATGGCGACAGTACTAGCCATAAATTCTCAGGCTCCAAGCACCCCTGCCTACACCGCAAAAGTAGTATAATAGAGGCAGTAATTGGCAGCTGGCAGGTATATTGACATATAACTCCCCCCCCCCTCACTCTCTCTCTCTCTCTCTCTCTCTCTCTCTTCTCTCTCTCTCTCTCTCTCTCTCTCTCTCTCTCTCTCTCTCTCTCTCTCTCTCTGACACTTTTCAGTGCATACGAGGTACCTCAGGACGTTTGCCTGCCTGCATGGTTATAATAAGATAGAATTCTTATTGTTTGTTCGTTTTTTAGTATCCAGAAGCCATGAGTTGTTAACCTTTAGGCTCGGTATTATGGATATCGCAATCTTTCGGCCTTGATTCCATTGTAAATACCGTGAATCTGGGAGTAATGTGGCTTTCCTGCCTACCCCCGAGATTGAACCCGGACCACAAGGAGTTTGTCACCCGGCCTCTGCGCAATCCGGTTTAGCCAACTACGCTAGAGAGCCAGGCAGAATTCTTATTGAGGCGGGTGGGTTTTTTTTTTTTTTTAAAGACCTGCTATTCCAGGTGGGGCCAGACTAAATTTAACCCCAACAAATGTTCTGACAAGTAAATACGACCAAGATAACATTGACCACATGATTGAGTGAGTGTGAAGTGGCGAATAAAATACGACTTTTACCTCTGTTCACTTCCTATTTAGTGTCGCACAATGTTTTCATCTTCAGATTACCAGCTGTCGGAAGTGCCAGCTGTTGGAAGTCTACACAGCTGTGCAATGTTTGCTTTGGTAACAACCATCTTGATGTTGACTTCAACTGTTTCGTCGGCCCCAAAAAGTCCTATATGTGACGTCACAAAAGATCCAGACATCAAGTTTGTGGATATCCGGCTGACGAAAACGAAAGTGCCCCCGATCCTAACCTCCTACGTCTGCCAGGCACAACCGGTGAGAGTTGGCTTCATATTGTCTTCTAGAGTTGCCAGTTAGTCCATTTTTTTCTGGATTACCCAGCGCCCCCCCCCCCCCCCCATACCAAATTGTGTTTCTATCTAGTAAGTTTAGTATTTTGATTTCCCGTATGGGGTCTGTGACGACCCCATTCCGCTGGGATAGACTCACTGCCTCCCTAACAAATATGTCATAAAGAGCAACTAATGAGGAGAGTTTCTTTCGAAGTCGCAGTACATGTCTCCCAGTGGGGTTAAACGTCTCCCACACACCCACCCCGTTATTTTTACAATGGTTTCAACAGTGGTATTGAGAGCAGGCCTTTGAGTAAGGAGTGGCAACTTCTTTCCTCTTTAGCTTAGGGCAGAGGTGATAGCTCTTCGTGTCTGGCGGTTCGTTGCCACTTGCTTTAGTTCTTGGATGTTCATTATGCCCATGGTTGAGGCTCTCCTGATGAATATTCTACCAAGGCATTCTCCAGCTACTGGGCAATGGGGCACTCCTGCTCACCAATACGCTGTAGGCAAACAAAGTCAGCTGTAGCAACT